GGCACCTTTCTCAGTTCTGGTGCTCTTGGCTGGGAAGTCCAGCTTGGGGTTTAGACCCCAGAGTCCTCAGTGGGAACACCCCACAGCTAAGATATCCCTCTGGACCTTCAGCTGCTGCCTGTGGGAGCCCAGACAGCCTTCTCGTGCCTCTGCACTTCCTACCAGTCTCTATGTGGTCTCCACTTTTCCTCCTTGGGTATGAGGGTGCTCTCCAGCTAGTCTTTAGTTAATTTTTCAGGATGTTTTTTCTATATTTTATTGTAATTCCAGTTTGGTTTTGGGAGAGTGTCAGTGTAGCTTCCACTCAGTCCACCTCCATCTTAGTAACTCCCCACTTTAAAAAAACAAACAAACTCTTAATTCTTTCTCTTCTTACTCCTGGGCCATTTCTAGTTTGCTACCTAGTTTGCTACCTAATTTGCTATCTTTGAGCTTGCTAATTCTCTCTTCCATCTGGTCTGCTGTTGCCAGTGCTCCCTGATTCATCCCTCACATCACATATTGAGTTCTGCAGCTCCAGAATTTCCATTTGGTTCTTTCTATAGTTTCAATCTTTTTGTTAAAAAACTCTTTTTGTTCATTAAGTTTCATCCTGAGATCACTGAACTGCCTTTCTGAGTTCGCTTGTATCTCATTGGGCTTCTTTATAACTGCTATCTAAATTCTCTGCCATTTATGTCACAGTCTTCCATGGCTTTAAGTTGGGTTTCTGGAGGCTTTTCATTTTCTTTCTGTGCTCCCAAGTTACCTTGGTTGTTCATGGTGTTTGATGGATTTTTCTCTGCCAGCACATTTGAGGTAGTGAGCTCTTCTCTCATTTAGGCACCGTTTTACTGTCAACAGTTCAGCAGGTTGATAGGCGATAGGTAGGGTACTTTCTTTTCTCTTCCAGTAGATGGTGCTTTGGCACAAGTTTTTATTTGCTCTTATCTGCACTACTTACACCCCTCCTTTAGGGTGAAGGGGTTTCCCTTTGGTTAAGAAAAATGTTGTGTACCCCCGGGATGGTGGGTGTCCCCTCTGTGACCAGCTGCTTTGGTTACAGGATTTTGCCCCTGTGGTGGGAGAATGTGTCTGGTGGTAGAGAACCAGTTTTGCACATTCCCAGCACTATCTTATTTTTACCAATGGTCACGGGCCCTGCTCTCTTTTTTGGAAGCATCTCCACTGCCTGAACTGGGCTCTGCCTGAATGGATGGAGAAGGGGTCTATATTCACGATTTTGTGGCCCTACTGTACTGTTTAAGGCTTTTCTGTTTTTTTCTTCCTGGCTCTGCCAGGATGGGTGGGGCAAGGGAGGCAAGGTCCCTGTCCTGCAGTTTCCCCCTTCCCATAAGGGCTGTGGGCAGTGCTGTGTTCTTTTAAGCATCCTGGCCATTGCCATCTCTACTGGAATCTGCCATGATGGGTTGGGGGCAGGCTTTTTCCCGGGGACCATTACTTTTGCCCCATCTTACACTCCAGGCTGTAGTGTGAGATACAACCCGATTTCCCCACAGCTACCATGCTTGCTGGGGCTGTGGAGGGCAGTGAATTGCATCTTTGGCAACCGTCCATCCTTCCTTTCTCCCACCTTCCCCACTCTTCCAGTCTGCTCACCTTCAGATGTTCCAATGCGTGGATCTTTCAGGTGAGTTTGTGTGTTGAGTAGGGGATCCTTTGTTAACTTACAGTTGTCCGACTTGTAAATTTAAGGGGAGAAACTATGGAGTCTTCTCACTCTCATGGTGCTGGAGCACTTTTTTTCTTTTCTAACCAGAAGTGTTGGTACATGCAAGGGTCTTCCGGAGAAAAAGTACAGCTAGTTCTAGAAATGCTAGAACCCACACCAAGTAGATGACTGGCCCACCATCTGCCACCCAGGCTGAAGGAAGGGGCTAGGTTCTGACCTTGGCCCCTTGTCTGCATCCCCCTGGATGTGAACCGGGGTAAGCGGGGCGTCCCTGGGGTCTGGCCCAGCGTGGCTCAAGCCTGTAGCCCGAGGAGGAGGATCGTGCAGAAGAGTTCACTTCTCTTCAGAGGAGCCATTCGCAGGGATTTCTGACCTGTGGAGTCCAAAGGAGAGCTTTTACTTCAAGCTGAGTTGGGAAAAGAGATCTGGACTTTTTCATTAAAATTTTATTTTAAATGTTTTAAAACTTCATAATAGTTTTTTTATCCTATTAGAAAGTAAAACTGGCTCAATCACAGACAATATGAAAATGTGAAGAAGCAGAAGATGGGAGACCTGCTGTGTGCACCGGAGGACCGTGGCGAACCCCATGCCAGGCAGCTCTCCACAAGTTCAGGCCACTGAGGCAGGGGCTCAGGTCGTGGAGCTGTGCAAATGAAAGAAGCCGCCCCGCCCTCTCGTGGGGGCTGAGGTGACAGGACCCTGTGTTCCATACACCGATGGCATCTTCCTGCTGCTTGTGCTGCTCGGCTGCAGGCCCCGGGAGCTTTTCCCGTGTCCCTGTAGGTCTCCACATGACTGCGCAGCTCTCTTCATACATCATGAATTATTTTGAATCTTGATTTTGAAACTTTATGATATTCAAACTTTTCTTAAACACTGCTTTTACCAGCTGTATACTACTTCCGAAAAGGCTCTAACCACCCTTATTCTGTATCTTTTTTATCATTATAAATAATGTTTCATTAATAGCCTTATACCTAAATACCCCTCTATATTTAGTTTTTAAATTATAGATTTCAGGAATAAAATTACTGGGTCAAAGGGCATGAATATTTTTAAGGCTTGTCATACACGTAATCAAATTGCTTCTCAAAAGCACTGTACTGAGATATATTTTATTCATTCAGCCCATAGTTATTGAGTCTCTACTATGTATTGGGACTGTGCAGATGCTGGGGATACAAGTGGCAACAACTAGACAAGGTCACTGCTTTAAAGAACATATATTTCAAAGAGACAGACAACAAATAAAAACAATGATTCTGACATCAGCAATAATTGCTGTGGAGGAAATGAGCCTGGGTTAGCAGATTGGTGTTGGGGATGGCAGAGCATGTCTCAGCTTGTTGGACAGGTCGTTTCTGAAGACTTGACACTGGACACTTGAGCAGAGACCTGAATGGTGTGAGGAGGGGCCATGCAGGTCCCTGGGAGGAGGCACCCATGGGGTCACAGCACCAGCAGGGGCTGAGTCAGGATGGGGTGGTGTCCAGGGGCCAGTGTGAGTGGAGACAAGGGAGCCAGGCTGAGGGTAGTGGGAAGAGACCAGGGCAGTCAGAGGGGCCGGCAGACAGTGGCGAGGGACTGGGAGCTCCTTCTGCTTCAGGAGGGAGGCACTGGAGTGTTATGAGGAGGTGGTCTGAGGATATGTCCTAATTCACATTAAAAGATCACTGCGTGTGTTACGCGGGTCACGGGCATGAGCATCAGCAGGAGCCCAACTGGAAGGCCACCTGTTTGCTGTTGGAGAGGACGGTTCCCAGATGGCGAGTGAGGAGTGACCGGACTCAGGATTGATACAGTCTAAGGTGGTGTTAGCAGTAATTCAAGGGAGAACCACAGCTGTACTTACTGACCTTAATTCCGCAGTTGATTCCACTTGGTTTACTGCCACAAGCCCAAAGTAAGATAAAAAATCAACAGCGTATCCCTTTGTGTCAGCAGGCTTGGAGTCCGGGGCTCCCCCAATCTCGCCCTCCTCCCTAAAGCAGAGTCCTTTCAGCTTTCAGGGCAGGGTCTTCTCAGTCTGCTGATCTGAAGAAGAGCACTGCGCAGGTCCTGAAATAAAGGCACCTGTGCAGATGACTCCAATGCTTACAGTGCCACGGGGCGGAGGGGGGGAGGCAGGTCCTAGATGCCTGGTTAGGACCTTGACTCCCCATTCACACACTGACCTGCAAACTGTTCTTGGTCCAACGCTCTTCGGCTTCCCCTCCCCTCCCCACTCGCCAATTGGTTCCTTGACCCAGTGGCCTCTCACTCCCTACACCAAGTATCCAAAACCCTTGTTTATGCCATTTGGTCACCTCTGGCCTTTGGCTACAGCGGGCCTGCTTCCCGCACCTCCCCTCCTGTGCTGGATGTCCAACCCGAACCCTCTCTGGGGTGTGACCTGCCCCCACCCTCAACCACTCCCACCATGTAGGGCCTTCCCCAGGCTGTGCACCTTGCCCACCCATCTTTGGCATTTAAGTTCTAGTTTCTCTTCCCATCCCCCCTCCTTTCTAACCCTAAACCACCTTTGGGCACACTGCACTGACTCCTTGAAACCCCTGCCACCTGCCTTTCCCAGAGACACTAGCAGGTCCCTCTACCTCCTCACCTGGGCCTCACCATGCCTCTTCCACCTGGGTCCAGGCCTTCACCTTCACCTTCCCAGGGTACCTGCCCACCCTAAACTCCCTTAGGGCCACAGCACAGCCCCTTGTGCCCCCCACCTCACTGCCACACCCTCCTGCCCCATCTGTGCCCTGCTCTGACCCCCTCTGCACCACAGCCGCTCTCACCATGGGTCCCTCCCATCCTGGACCCTTCACATCCCTCCCTCCCCATGGGCAAGACCCCCTTCACCGTGACCTTCTTGCCCCCTGCTGGCCAACCTCCCCTTGACCTCCTACCTGTACCCCTAGGGAGCCGGGGCCTCCCTCTGAGGCACCTGTCTGGCATGCTGGCCAGTCTCCACCCTGTCTCCCCTCCCTCAGCTCCCCTCTCCTCCCGTTCCCCTCCCCGCTTCCCCACACTGGAAATCCTCACCCTGTCCCTTTGTATGCGGTGCTTTCCACACCTGCAGGAGAAGAGCAGAGCCCTCCTGTCAGGCTGTGACCCAGCAGTTGCTTCCAGGGGAGTCTCTCTGTGCTTTCGTGATTTCTCCTCCTTGCTCAGACCCCACAGTCTCCACATGACCTCTCCGTGGTGTCCCAGGATGGCTCGGTGCCATTGAGATTTGGGGCTGAGGAACACCTGGGTGGTTGGCCCTTCTTGCACTGTGGCCCTGAGAAAGGCAGGGCAGAGTGTGGGGCGGTGGGCGGACACAGTCCTGGGAGACATGGACACAGGGACCAAGCACTCGACAGAACGGGAGGACCTCAGGATGATGCTGGCCAGAATCATGGCCCTGCAGGACCAGAAAGGACTGCGAGTGGGTCGGGCAGAAGTGACGTGAGTCTTTTCCAGTTTGGGGCAGAGAGCGGGGCCATCTCCACTGTCTTGCTGGGGTGGGGGTGAGGGGTAAGGGCCTGTGGACTCCAGCGCAGAAGTGACCCTCACTCAGCCAGCACAGGAAGATGAGGCGAGCCCGGAGGGCCCTCCTGCTGGAGTTCCTCCCTTGGCCCTGGACGGCAGAGGGGCGCAGGGACTGGGGATGTCACTGCTGGGTGGGGCAGGCTTGCCCTGGGCCCGGGATTCAGGGCCAGGAGACCAGGAGGACAACAGCACAGGGGTTTCAGGCATTTCTGCAACAACACAGTCCTTCCTCTCCTGTCACCGAAGACGTGGATGGACAGTGCCTGGTCCTCAGCTCAGCCCTGGGCTGTGAACCCCGAGATCCAGGGAACAGGTGGCTCTCACAGCAAGGGTGCTGGGGAGGGCTTTGTGGAAGAGTGTGCAGGTGTCTGGGATCCTGGGTGGGCTTCAGGGGAAGAGCGGGTATGGCCCTCAGGGTCTTCCTCTCCCACAGATCCCTGAGCCCCAGCTACGCCCAAGACAACCCTGCCTGTGTGTGGGATGCATGCGCGTTCTGTGGGCATGTTGTGTTGTGATTGGCCTGTCCTATTAAAGCCACTAAATAAGACAGGTGTCCCAGTGACAATAATGCAGGGACATGGTGGGCCCTCAGACAGACAGAACACTGAGCCAGGGAACCAGGGGGTGAAACAGGAGAGGAAGCCCTCAAATGAGGATCAGCTCCCTGGCTCCCAGCCTGCCTGTCACAGACAGTCCCTCCCAGGAGCCCACCTCTCACACCCCCTCCTCAGCACCAACACGTGGATCCAAAAGACTGAGGCTCTATCCAGCCACCCTCCTGCCAGTCTGAAGGAAGTGGGCCCGGGGTGCAGCACAGACTCGGAGAAGGTTGGCATCAGTGAGCGGTCAGCCAGAGCCGAGCTGGGGGGAGGACCAGTCTGTTCTCCCGGCTCCCTTAGAGGGAGCTGGGCTTGGCCCCAAGCCTCAGTGGCTCTGCCCTTTCCTCCCCAGGGCCCCCAGCCGTGAACGTGACACACAGCCAGGCCTTGAAGGGCACAGTCACCCTGACACGCTGGGCTTTCAGCTTCTCTCCCCAGAACATCTCACTGGCCTGGCTTTGGGATGAGCAGCCCCTAAGCCAGGACCCCAGCATTCTGGGGGGTCCTGCCTGATGGGACTAGGACCAACCAGACTTGGGTGCCCATAGGGTTCCCCAAGGAGAGGAACGGAGGGTCACGTGCTACGTGGACCACAGTAAGAGCCACAGTGCACACCCTGTGCCCTCTGGTGAGCTCCTGTGAGCCTGGAGGGGTTGGGACCCTGGTAGGGTCAGGGGCCAGGGTGGGGGGAGCAAGCCTGTAGCTTGGGCTGCCCAGGTCATCATAAGGCCCTTCTCCGGAAGGCCCGGTGCACCGGCTGGATGTCCCTGCCGCCCGTTGAGTGCAGGCACCTGGGGGAGGGGCCCTGCAGCAGAGGCGGCGGGAGGGGCTCCGCGCGCGTGGAGGACGCCGCGTCCGGGGCAGGCCCGCCCCTTGCTCCCTGGGGTGTAACAGGAGAGCGATTTGGGGCACATATGAGAGGAATTGGGGTCAGTGACTCCACAGATGTCACTTATCTGTGCACATGGTAAGGCCTGCGCTAAAGCTCTTGCATTTCCGCCCGGGCAGCCCTGCTGCAGGCGAAGGAGCGCGCTCGGCGGGGGGTGGCGCAGGGCGCCCGTCGCAGCCCTTTCCTCCCGGGCTCCGCAGGGCGCGTCCCCAGGGACCGTGTCGGCTCCTGTATTTATCCGCAAGGCCCGCAGTGCACTTGGGGTCAGAGGAGCAGGCGGTGGCGGAGCCTGGGATCCCCTGGGAGGCATGAGGGCGTGGGGCACAGGAGTATGGAGGGCGGGGGTCCCTGGGCTCTTCCTGTCCGCTTCCCTGTCTCCTTTGCCCCTCTCTCCTGCCCCCGTAAGTAAGGTTGGCAACGCCCCACGACGTCCAAATAGTGTCACGCAGGTGCTGAGCCCCCCTCCCCGAGGTGCCTGGGCGCCCCGGCTCGGAACAGGCAGCTTGGCCTGGGCAGGGAGGTGGCCTT